ATATATATTTACACCAAATGTTAAATATTTTAACGTTTTAAGATCAAATGACCCGTACCCAGCCATACAGTGAACTGCGAATAAAAAAACTAACTTGTGTTTCGCGCGCTCATATGACCTGATGCAGTTGCGAGCGCCGTAGAACCCCATACAAAACTAACTTTCTTTCTCACTTCCTTTCTTTCTGTCTGTCTGTCTGTCTGTCTGTCTGTCTGTCTCTCTCTCTCTCTCTCTCTCGGATAAATAACCCACCCAGGTTTTGAATGAAAAAACCTCAGTTTTAAGTTTTAGTCTCTGAGGCCGAAAATCATGGTTTTCTGCATTAAACGTTTTGTTGTTTGTGCTTGCTTTGTTGTGTGTGGTCAGCTGTAAGTCTACTTTTGCCTTGGTGGGGTGTCACGGAGAGAGGTCGAGGAAAACAAATTGTTGTATGTCTTGTTTGGAAAAGTGTGTGTTTTTGATGTCCTCAACAAGGATTCTGAGGCCGAAGGGTTTGATCCGTCCTTCTTCATAAATCTTTCTACCAAAGGCATACGTCAAAGTTAAGGACAGGATAAGACAAAATAGTAAAACATAAGATAATATTAATAAGATAAGATAAGACAAAACTTTATTGACCATCGAGGGAAATTGTGGGTGGATAAAAATAGATCTACCAGAACATCATCATACAAAATACAAATATATATATACATTTTTACAAAGTTTCAGCATCAACACAGAAATGCACTTATCAAATTCATCATTACCAATGACGAACAAACAATGATGCATTAATCACTCAAACAAGCATTCCCAAACAGTGAGCCCGTGGGCATGATCTCTCTCTCTCTCTCTCTCTTTCACATACACACACAGAACTTTCAAATATACACCATAAGACATTTTAATGCATGATTGTGCTGTGCAAGTTCCAAAGTAAAACTAACAAATCCAAAATGTAACACAATACATTATTATAATTTGCCTTGGTGAGGTGCTACAGTGGGAGGTCGGGGAAAAAAAATTGTTGGATTTTCTTGTTTGGAAAATTTTTTATGTTTTTGAGGTCCTCAAGGACTCTGAGGCCGAAGGGTTTGAAGAGTTTTTTCGTTGTTTTGGAATTTGTTTATGGTGTCTGGATTTGCTTTGAAAATGCAGTTGTGTGCTGGGTTCTCTGGTGTTGAGCTCTGTTCTTGCAAAAGGGTGGCCAACCCACCCCATCCTAAGGTGTATTTTGGTCTTATTATGTGGCATTTGAAATTCATAGATGTACATTTGTCACATTCGATATGAGTAATTATTTTAAAAAACCCCCAAAAACCCCAAACTACCAAAGATCAATAACATCAGCAATCATAACTGTGGCCACGCAATAGAATTACACAAGATCCATTATTTTCCAGATACAGAATAGCAGTGAGAAGTAGAGACAAAAGATCAAATTAATAAAGATGAAACATTTGGGACTCTTTTAACTCACTACGAAACATATCCTACTGTGTAACACCACCTCCCCCCCCCAAAAAAAAAATATATATAAAAAAATATTTTAAAAAATAAAATAATTTAAAAAAAAATGAGTAAGCTGAAATAAATTTTTAAAAACACCAAAATTAATAAATGAAAGATCAACAAAATGAACCAGGTTATCAGAACTCAACACTGCTTTGAGCATCGCTCAGGCAACTATCCTCATCTATTCCCACCAGACTTACTTTTCTTCCTTGTATTATAAGTCTGTCTCCGTTTATGCAAATTTAGATGGCCAAATTATGCAACAACAAAAAAAAAGAAGCAAAATTGTGAAAAAAATTATGCAAGTTACCGTAACACCATTTGCTACATGTTTTGCACTTTTTCAACACGAATTTTGATGATTTTCATGTTTTATGTACAGAAAAATTGAAAACAGAACATATCAGTATCAGTAATTTGTTGTGCATTTGGAAAGAAAACAATACACATCAGTCAGCAAAAAACAACAACCAAAAACTATAATCTCTGTAAGTGTAAGTTTTAGCTGTAGATCTAGATCTATAGAGGAAAGAAAAATGTAAAAAAAAAAAAAAAAAGACAAAAAAAAGACATCTGGACCTCTGATGTTACTACCTCACATTACTAACTAAAACCAGGGACACCTGTCAAACATGACATGTCAGCAGACAAGAGAAAAACAGCTTTTGATGGATTGAAACATTGAACATGCTCAAGGAACAAAATCCCAACCCATAACCAAGATCTTCTAACAAGGGAAATAACCAAACTTGTCACTTAAATGAGACATATTACGGTGATTGCTTCCCTTTAGTCACATGGCGAGGCCTTAATTTATTGTTTAGTAAAAAAAAAAACAGGAAAAAAACGCAGGGAATCCAAAATTATGCAAATGTTGCAGAATTACGCAAAAAAAAGGGCCGCACAATCCCATAATCCAATGGGGACAGATAAGTGGCATTTTTCTCCTCAAGTTCCGAGGCACATATCGACATGAAAATGGCCGTAATTATTATTGTCCCCACTCTCTCTCATCATCACTGTCAGACGAATCAAGGTGGTCTCTCCCGTCTCCTTCCTCCCTCTCCACTTGTCTCATCACAGGAAAAACTGCGTAGTGTTCCAGCCCCACCTTGCCGCCGGTACACAGACTCACAAAATCTTCATCATGCGCATCCACCACTTCCCGCAGGCAAGGGTTAGGGTTTAGTTTAGGATCGACTTTTTTCTTCACAGTAAGGAAAAATCCTGCTCGACTGAGGAACAGATGCCTGTCCTGTATGTGCTCCAGAGGGTGCGAGAACAGACGAGACCTGGCAATGTGATCCTGGTGGTAGCCCATGGTGAAGAAAGCGTAGTCAAACTTTTCCCTCGTGTCCGCCCAGTCGTCTGTCAAAACATTTGGACATTTCTCCACAATGGATCGAACGTCGGAAACGGTGAAAAGTCCTTTCAGTTTTGCAAACTTTTCGAGAATGGACGCCGAGCTTGAACCGGATAAGAGTAGCAGCAAAGCAGGATCCTTCTTCAACAATTTTACCATCCGTTTCTCAGAAAAAATTCCCAAAGTCCTCAGCTGAGTTATGGATGCGTTTAGGAGAACAGGAAGATTTCTCACAGCACTCCTGTCCTCCCAATATAAAGCTGGAAGATTCTCCAACAGCTTCAGAGAGACGGATTGCCCCAGTCCATGCTGTTTCAAAAGCCGAACAGCACTCATGACAGCATCGCGATCCCGCAGCAACCACAGCCTGCCTCCTAAAAGCCTCCTAATCTCCACATCCGTACATCCAAGCCTAGATAATTCAGAAACCTGAGGAAAAATAAATTATTGATTGAAAAATCTCAAAGTAAACTACTTTTGCTAACTAAAAAACTTGTCACAACTCTTCTTCAAGTGCCAGATCTGAAACAATTTCAACAATTGAGTGGGCCACAATTTTGCAAAAGACAATTGTGCGGGGGAGGGGGGGAGATAAATTTTTTTTTTTTTGCAAAAAGAATAGCAAGTCTTTGAAAATGTAAAAATTTGTGTCATGACATGGTGGAATCAGGCGCTAATAAATTTTTGGGCAAAGGGTTATTGGTATCATCTAAAAGCCTGTTCATTTTACTTTCTTTTGGAGAAAAAAACATTCAGGTTGAGGATGTCGCGTTTGTATTATACACGTACATAGAATGATCGACAACAGAACACAGCGGATTATGCACAGAGGTTTAATGGCTCATGTTGCTGCCGGCACACTCGAAGGGCGAACAGGAACAAAGACAATAGCGAAACTAAAACGAGACCGTAATTAGGTCACCGGGACACAGGAAGTAAAACAATGAGGTCGTAACTAACATTAAAATATCATGACAGAGGAGAAGTTGAAATATTTGTGATTGAAGGAGGTCAGAGTCGCCTGATTTCAGAGAAAATGGCGGCCAAAGTATGGTAACTTCCATAGCCTGAGAATCCTTGGAAACTGAAAGCTTACATTTTTTGTGTGCATTTGATCAACGTTTTTAAATAAAATCAACTTAAAAATGTATATTTAAATGGACATAATACGGTGTTCAACCAAAAATAAAAACCAGAAAAAAGCATGCCCATCGACCCAAAAAAAGGTGCCGATTTCTTCGATTTCATTAACGTGACGAGTGCCTGATTTCACCAAGGTGGCTTTCGTGGCCCAGAGGTTTAAAGTGTTCACCTCTCATTCAAAGGTCCTGGGTTCTACTCTGGGTAGTGACCGAACAAATTTTCTTCTCTAAAACATCTCCTTTCCTGCTCTCTAGCAATGTTCTGTTATCTGCTTTCGTCTCTACTTTCAGCCTCCACCCCCCCCTCCTCTGGGCTTCAGACTCTTTCTGTGTGCAGCCTTTCTACTGCTATTCCTTGGCTCTTTCTTACTGCTGTCTTTCAGCCACACCCTTGATCTTAAGGTAAGAAAGATCTACACCTAGCCTTTTCGGACAAGGGCGGAAAATCTCGGAGGTCCTGTGTACAAGTTGCCTACGGTTAAAGATCCCTTGGTGGTCTAAAACCGATAAGAGTAGGCTTAAACCGCCACCATGGCAAAATTCAAAATTTCCAACCAACTGAAAATGTAAAATAAGTGTCCTGCGTGCTCATATATGACCTTATTATGCAGTTGCGAGTGTCGTAAAATCCCTCTCTAGTAAAACTTACCCAAAAAAAAAGTTAAAATTTCAATATGCTGCCTCACATTTGTCTCTCCGGTTAAAGCAGATGATTTTATTTTCAAGCATGCTGACTGAGTAGTAGAAATAAACAACAAAGAAGGTGTAAAAACTAGGTCTGCATGGAGAACAATTTAAAGAAAGGATAGAGGCTAGCCATACTTAATGACTTAATGAAGGCTAGATAGCCGTACTTAATAATGATGGCTAGACTGACAAACAGCAAAAAAAAAGGCCTACTTCTGACTTGTAAATATAAATTTTTAGTTTGTTATACCTAAAGTATTTGTATTTGAGACGAAACCTAAGGTTGCCTGACTGATAGTGCATGTATTTTAATACTTTGCAGTCACACAGCCAGCATACAAAATGACCCATCTTGTCACCCAGCCAGGAGAGTGACTGCAACGAACTTCTCTGGCCTGTCACAGAATTGCACCAAGTGACCGTACCGGATAATTCTCACCGGCGTGTATGTGCCGCCAAGTGACCGCAAAGTAAACCTGAATAATTACTAATGAGACCTGTGTACTCAAAAGGTTTTGACCAATAGGGCCTGCCTAACAGAAAATAGAAGGCCAGCTCTATTCGGATATAATTTTTATCTCTCTATTCGAAAAACGGACTCGGTCCGAAAAAAATGTGTCTCTATTTCTCCAAACATTCGGGAAAATAAACTTGGAACTTTATTTCTCCGAACGGTTTCCGTTCTCGAGATTTATTGATAATAAGCGAATGGAGTGGCCCATGTGTGTGTGTGTGTGTGTGTGTGTGTGTGTGTGTGAGAGAGAGAGAGAGTAAGGCGTGAACGGGGGTGGGGGGAGTGGAGGGTTTTTTTTTTTCATGAAACATGAAAGATTTTAGTTTTCGAAGTGGCTAGCCGTATACTTAACTCATGCCAGTCTAGCTGTACTTAGCCCCGTCGACTCAAACCTGTTCAGTACACAGGTCTCATTACATCTAGATCTAGATATAGTAATTATTCAGGCTTAAAATACATGCAAGTCAGTAAGGCACCTTTTGGTTTTGTCTAAAACACAAATACTTAGGCATTGCAAACTCAAAATACAATTCAGCCATCAATAATAAGTACGGCTAGCCTGATTGTCTTAATTGTCTAGCCGTCCTTAAGTACGGCTAGCTCCTTAAGTACGGCTAGCCAAGAAGTCTAGCGTACGTCTAGCTTGCCAGTCTAGCCGTACTTAGGCCCTATTAACATTAGAAAACAGGTCTCATTAGTAATTATTCAGGTTTGAAATACATGCACTGACATTAAGGCACCTGGTTTCGTCTCAAATACAAATACTTTAGGTATGGCAAACTAAAAATTTATTTAAAATTCAGTAGGCTATTTTATATTTTTTGGTCAGTCTAGCCATCATATTAAAAATATAAGTAAGGCTAGCCCAGCTGTCTAGCCGTACTTAACTCTTTGAGGACGTAGCGGACACATAAGTCCGACCATCTGCACATAAAAGGCAATGTTGCTGTACATTCAAAATCATCAAGCACAAATGAGAGACATGATCTATAACCTTTTTATTATTTTTTTTAGAGTGTTTTGCCTTCCTCCTTAAAGTTTTAAACAACTACAAAAGAATCGAAAAATCTACATGAAAAACAAAGTTACGGCTTAAAAAAAATATTCCCAAACAGCACGTCCTCAATGAGTTAAGTACGGCTAGCCTCTTCCTTTAGTTTTTGCTGGGTGACTTATGCAAAATAGGTTATAGCCAAGGTCGAACAGTCTTGTTTTCTCGCAGCACCTTTTGAAGGTGTATTTTCAAATGAAGTATAGTCTGGGAACGTTGCCCCAACCACCAACTGAAATATCTGAATATTCAGACATTTAAAAATCTCTAGCTCTAGAAATTGAATTCCATGCAAAAAAATGCTTCCTCATAGTCCACGAAGACTGGCAGAATGAAAGGATGAAGCCTAAATCTCGCAAATAACCAAAAAATCTCGAGATCAGAAACTGTTCGCAGAAACAGAGTTCAACTTTATTTTCCCGAGCGTTTGGAGAAAAAGTCACTTCGTTTTAAATTTATTCGGACTCAGCTTCTAAATGAGTCTTGTGAGTGTTAGGAGGTTACATATTATAACTGTCGTCGGGGGATTTTACGTAACACCAGAATTAGAACTAAAATAGCCTAGGATTGTGTAACTAACTGTGTCAAAAGTCAAAAGACTGCACTCTCAATACTCTCATTATAGATCTACCCAACGGCAGTGTTTAAAAGCACACGGTAACCGACAACTCAGGGTCTTTCCACCACCACTACAGCATCATCATTACTTCCACCACCATTTTTCTTTCCATGTTTAATTTCATTTTGTTGTGTGTTATAGGTTTTTTGTAATTTTATTTTCTTTTATCACATCCCACAAAACAGACAGCTGTGGCCTTTTCCCCCAGCAAGCTGAGAGTGCGCGATCGCTAAGAGCAGTCTCATCGGTCGACATAAAATTAACTTGGCCCCAGGCAAGGTCAGCTCAACTTGATCGTTCTGTTCATACCAATGATGCAGGGAGGGCCAGTTTAAATAGATCTAGTAACTGGGTATTTATAAGCTCACGTCTCGACTTATCAAAATCGAAAAAATGTTCGTAAATGCTAGAAATATTTAGGAACAAGGGTCCGAAGTGGGAACGGACGTCATGCTGGACTCAATTCAGAGTCCAAATATAATTTTTCTCTATTCGGACTCGACACTTCGAAAATAGAAATTAGGGAAGGAGTCCCGCAGAAGGCTGGCTGACCAACAACACACAAAGAGGGGAATATTTTGAGTAGGGTATCCTAACCCTAACTCTAACCCTTGTACGGTTTGCTCAATGGACCTTGTCACTGTAAGTGCCGGCCCTCTGCGAAATTAGATCTAGACTCTAGATAGATTTGCTGACAGCTTTTTTCGTGCAGGGCATACTTACAAATTTGATTACATCCTGCTCAGGAATGGAGTCAACCATCACATCAATGGTCCTTGTGGTATGAACGACTTCACTTGCCAGGGAAGAGCAGTCATCGGCAGAATCACCCAACGAGCTCCTCGTCGTAGATCTAGATGAAGAAAAGCAACGTAACAGCTGCCAACCGATCAGGGAAGGGATTTTAACCTGCACATGATCTAGATCAGTTCCAAACACTATTCCTGATTTTTTAGGCGGAACAACAATCGCACGAATTCTCACTTGTTTCGATTGTTCAAAATGGGACCCAGATACAAACATTATGGATGCATGTCTACAATGTCTGCCATTAGTTGCAGGCAAACATGGATTATGAGGAAGCATTCTTCGGGGTCCTAAACAACTTACACGGCTCCACACACTGAACATCGATTTCAAGCATCTTGATGGAGGCGAAGAGAAACAGGATTGTTTGCACAAGGGAGCAACTGAGAAGGACAGCATGCTGTTACAGCGAAAACCTGACCTGAGGAGCCTGGCCTTTCTCCTCTTTTTCAGGTTCCAGGGGTCTTCCAATTCAAGATCCCAAACTCAAACACTATAGACTATAGACTAGACTATAGTATAGTCTATAGTAGTAGGCCTATATATACTATAGATCTAGATCTAGATCTAGATCTAGATTAGATCTAGATTTTCTAGATCTTCTAGCCAATTGAAAATGGCACACTTCCACGTTCACATCAATTAATATTAATGAAATCTAACGCTCCGTCAAACCAGTTATATCTTATGTTTTGTTATCTTTTAAAGGTTAGAGGCCCAGGCCTACTGCACTCACTAAATTCATTCGGTCAGACCGATACCTGATTTCGAAAGTAAAAGTTGTGACGTCATATCCGTGTTGCCAGGGAAAAAAAGAGTTGCCGTTTAAGCCTACTAAATACATCACTTATTTTTTTCAGGGAAATTGATTGTTTTTCTTTTTTAATTTGCTTTTTGCACCTGGAGCTCCACATGTTTGAAATGGACTCACCGGTCACTTGTCATCTTTTTCTACCTCAAAAGTATCCTACACAGAAAATTTTATATCTTTCCATTGGTGTTGACTATGACTTATCCTAATACATAATATATCAGGAGAGGAATAAAAGGCCAATCGGTGCACAGCAACACTTTTCAATCATGGATTAATGATATTCTGCGAAGTCTTTTCATGTTGATTTCTTTTTCATGTGATTTGTCGTTAAAATGTACTCGTAGGGATTTTTGTTGTTGTTTATCTTTAAATGAGCTGCAGACCATAATATATTATGGTGGACTCACGCCCTTATTTGTTAATTTTTGTGGTTGTTTCTGGGCTGTTCTAATTTTAATTTCATTCTGTTGTGAAACCTTTCTTTTTCACGTTTTTAAACTCATCTAAAAATCTCTAGACTAGCCAGACTAGCTGTTGAAAATTGAAATAGATATATAGACCT